ATGATGGTATAATGAAATATAGAATATAGCTATAAATAATAAGCTAACTTGCAATTTAAAGGTTAAGAAAGGAGAGTTGAAAGAGAATAATTTTTATGATATATGGGACAGCTTTTTGGACTATGTGTTGGCAAGAGCAAAAGGGAAAGCTCCAAATCAAGAATCAATGCAGTTCTGGAGAAGAGGACAATAATAGAAGAAGAAGAATATAGATGAAGGAAGAAGAAGATTAGTGCAAGACTATGGTGGTAGGGAATACAGTTACATTGTATTTTGGTTTATGTATTTTATGTTTATGTTATAGTTAAATAAAAAATTTAAAAAAAGAGAGAGAGAGAGAAAAAGGAGCAGAAGGGAATCTGTCTTATACCATGCAGAAGAAACAGCAGGCAGCTTTTGGAAGAAGTTTCTTCTGGGGCGGAAAGTGCCTGAGTTACTGCTTTTAGAAGCTTAAATGGGAAACTGTCAGTGATAGCACTATTTTGATCCAAAAGAGAGAGAAACGTCCCCCCTCACACCAAAGCAATTAAAAAAAAGGATCTTTACTGAGAAGGCCTCCCCAATGTTTACCAAAGAATGGGAATGGAAGATATTTGACTTACAGATGAGATTAAGGAGGAAATGAAGCTTTAGTCTCAGCAACTGAAATGGAAAAAGCCATGTCAGATCTCTCCCTCCCTTCTCCAACAAATAGAAACCCTTCCCCAATCCAGTAAACAGAATCTTTGCTGAGAGCCTCTCTCTAAACTTTGTCAAAGAACTAGGCGGAAAGACAGTTGATTTACAATGCAGCAATAAGTTCCATTTCAGTGGCTGAAACGTGAAACTGTTAAAGACAGAACTGTTTTCCCCACAATAAAAAAAACCTAACTTAAAAGGCAGTTGATTTCTGAAACAGAGGTATTTTCTTGACATGTAGGAAATTCTGGGACGAAGCCAAGAAGTCCCATGAGATTTTGAAGAGATTTCTATACAAAGAAATCTCAAGGGGGGGAATCTGAGGGAGGAGAGAAGAAGCAATTTCATGCCCTCTCTTCCACAAAATGAATGAGACATTGTGAGAGTCACATGTTTACACAAACACTAAGTCCTAAATGTAAATGAAGAGTCAGTGTGGCCACCTAAAAGTAAAAAAAAGAAAACCCCAGAACATGGCCTATCTAGTTAGCGATGTACCAGCCTAGCCACCCCCTTCATGGATTGCTGCCTTATCATGGTGAAGGGGTTTGAGTAATTCAGAGAAGCTATGGGCTATGCCGTGCAGGGACACCCAAGATGGACAGGTCTTAGTGGAGAGTTCTGACTAAACTCAATCCATCTGGAGTAGGAATTGGCAAGCCATTCCAGTATCTTTGCCGAGATTGCCCCATGATCAGAAACAAAAGGCTAAAAGATATGACACTGGAAGATGGGGCCCTCAGGTCAGAAGGCGTCCAACATACTACTGAGGAAGAGCAGAGGACAAGTACAAGTAGCCCCAGAGCTAATGAAGTGGTTGGGCCAAAGCCGAAAGGAGGCTAAGCTGTGGATGTGCCTGGAAGTGAAAGGAAAGTACGATGCTGCAAAGAAAAATACTGCATAGGAACCTGGAATGTAAGATCAATGAACCTTAGTAAACTGGATGGCAAGAATAAACATTGACATCCTGGACATCAGTGAACTAAAATGGACGGGAATGGGCGAATTCAATTCAGATGATTATCATATCTATGATTGTGGGCATGAATCCTGCAGAAGAAATGGAGTAGCCCTTATAGTCAACAAAAGAATGGGAAAAGCTGTACTGGGATATAATCTCAAAAATGATAGAATGATTTCAATATGAATCCAAAGGCAGACCTTTCAGCATCACAGTCATCTAAGTTTATGCACCAACCACCGATGGTGAAGAGGCTGAAATTGACCAATTCTATGAAGACTTACAACACCTTCTAGAACTGACACCAAAGAAAGAGGTTCTCTTTATAGGGGACTGGAATGCTAAAGTAGGGAGTCAAGAGATAAAAGGAACAATAAGTAAGTTTGGCCTTGGAGTTCAAATGAAGCAGGGCAAAGGCTAATAGAGTTTTGTCAAGAGAACAAGCTGGTCATCACAAACACTCTTTTCCAACAACACAAGAGTTGAATGTACACATGGAGATCACCAGATGAGCAATACAAAAATCAGATTGATCATATTCTCTGCAGCCAAAGATGGAGAAGCTCTATACAGTCAGCAAAAACAAGACATGGAGCTGATTGTGGCTCTGATTATCAGCTTCTTATAGCAAAACTCAAGCTTAAACTGAAGAAGGTAAGAAAAACCACTGGGCTAGTCAGGTATAATCTAAACCAAATCCCTTATGAATACACAGTGGAAGTGAAGAACAGATTTAAGGAACTAGATTTAGTGGATAGAGTGCCTGAAGAACTATGGATGGAGGTTCGTAACATTGTACAGGAGGCAGCAACAAAAACCATCCCAAAGAAAAGGAATTGCAAGAAAGCAAAGTGGCTGTCCAACAAGGCCTTACAAATATCAGAGAAGAGAAGGGAAACCAAATGCAAGGGAGATAGGGAAAGTTACAGAAAATTGAATGCAGACTTCCAATGAATAGGAAGGAGAGACAAGAGGGCCTTCTTAAATGAACAGTGCAAAGAAATAGAGGAAAATAATCAAAAGGGAAAAACTGGAGATCAAGAAAATTGGAGATATTAAAGGAACCTTTTGTGCAAAGATTGACATGAAAAATGGGAGGGACCTCACAGAAGCAGAAGACTTCAAGAAGAGGTGGCAAGAATACACAGAGAAATTATACCAGAAAGATCTGGATGTCCCGGAGCACCCAGATAGTGTGGTAGTTGATCTTGAGCCAGACATCCTGGAGAGTGAAGTCAAATGGGCCTTATAAAGCATGGCTAACAACAAGGCCAGTGGAGGTGATGGCATTCCAGTTGAATTATTTAAAATCTTAAAAGACTACACTCTATATGCCAGCAAGTTTGGAAAACTCAGCAGTGGCCAGAGGACTGGAAAAGATCAGTCTACATCCCAATCTCAAAGTAGGGCAGTGCCAAAGAATGCTCCAACAACTCTACAATTGCACTCATTTCACATGCTAGCAAGGTTATGCTCAAAATCCTACAAGGTAGGCTTCAGCAGTATGTGGACTGAGAACTCCCAGAAGTACAAGCTGGATTTTGAAGGGGCAGAGGAACTGGACACTAAATTGCTAACATGCACTTGATTATGGAGAAAGCCAGAGAGTTCCAGAAAAACATATACTTCTGCTTCATTGACTACGCAAAAGCCTTTGACTGTGTGCACCGCAACTAACTATGGCAAGTTCTTAAAGAAATGAGAGTGCCTTACCACCTTATCCATCTCCTGAGAAATCTACATGTGAGACAGGAAGGAACAGTCAGAACTGGATATGGAACAACTGATTGGTTCAAAATTGGGAAAGGAGTATGACAAGGCTGTATATTGTCCCCCTGCTTATTTAACTTATATGCAGAATATGTCATGTGAAAGGCTGGACTGGAGGAATCCCAAACCGGGATTAAGACTGGCAGAAAAAATATCAACAACCTTCGATATGCAGATGATACCACTCTGATGCAGAAAGTGAGGAGGAATTAAAGAACCGCTTAATGAGGGTGAAAGAGGAGAGCACAAAAAATAGTCTGAAGCTCAACATCAAAAAAACTAAGATCATTACCACTGGTCCCATCACCTCCTGGCAAATAGAAAGGGAAGATATGGAGGCAGTGACAGATTTTATCTTTTTGGGCTCCATGATCAGTGCAGATAGGGACAGCAGCCACAAAATTAAAAGATACCTGCTTCTTGGGAGGAAAGTGATGACAAATCTAGACAGCATCTTAAAAAGCAGAGACATCACCTTACCGACAAAAGTCTGCATAGTCAAAGCTATGGTTTTTCCAGTAGCGATGTATGGAAGTGAGAGCTGGACCATAAAGAAGGCCGACCACCAAATAATTGATGCTTTTGAGTTGTGGTGCTGGAGGAGGAAGCTGAGGCTTCAATACTTTGTCCATCTGATGAGAAAAGAAAACTCCCTGGGAAAGCCCCTGATGTTGGGAAAGTGTGAAGGCAAGAGGAGAAGGGGACGACCGAGGATGAGATGGCTGGACAGTGTCTGCGAAGCAACCAACATGAATTTGACCCAACTTCGGGAAGCAGTGGAAGACAGGAGGGCCTGGCATGCTCTCGTCCATGGGGTCATGAAGAGGTGGACAGGACTTAACAACTAAACAACAACTAGCCTAGGCACTACTCTCCAATCTCTTCATGCCTGGATGTTAATGGTTACTTGGACAGTTGAAGGGGGTAGATAGTGTCTTGGAAGATTGATCTGAGCCCTCCTCAGGATTTAGGAATTGAACTTTCTAGTGGATTTTAATTGGAGCTTCAGCTATCAATTTCCTTCTGCATTGGCTGTTGTTTCTTTTGCCACAGCAATTGCTGCTAAGTATTCTTGTTTAAATTTCAGCATTCTTGTTTAAATTTCCAGATGCCACAGAAGACTCCAATGAGTTCAGTACAAGTGCTCTAACCAACCAAAATGCTACTGGAAGCTTCTTGCATTGTCCTGTATCTGCCTCAGTAACTTGTAAATTTCTTGCTTTACATTCTTTCAATACATTCTCAGGCCAATGCATATGCTTATTTTAGGTGGGTTCCATCAGAAAAATACTTGAAGGCTGAGTTGTATTTAGCCAAATGGACATGTTAAAATTATCTTGGTCCTTTATTGGATCTGAGGTGGCATTAGGGTTTGATATCTAATCCCCCCTTGAAAGCTTCATTGTTTCTTACTGCAGCCTTAACAGTGCCTTTTTCAGCGTTCAGTATTTCAGATTGAGTGGCCAAATCTGGTCATGCCCTCGAATTTTGGAATGGGGGAACAATGATGTCTTTTTTCTCCATTTGAAGGGCTATGCAATAGATCAATTCACCTATTTTGTTAAAAGTTTGGGTTTTTATATTTTTCCAGATCAATGGATGAGAAGGGAGCCTGTCTGTGCTCTCATCTGCAGGTATGGCGTAGCATTTTAAGCCCACTGGAAGGGTTCAGGATCAAGCTGTGGATCCCAGCGCAGGCTCATCTGTGTTGTTATCATTCAGAGGTCTGATAGCACCTCCTGCTCACCATATTCTAGAAGGTTTGGTACATTTTCTCTCATAGTTTCTGGGGTGTAGCTGTGTACAAAGTCAGTTTATTGGAAGGCAAGGCCCTCGTACTGCAGGCTTTGTTGATCTGGAAGTGATCCAGTTGTATTCAATAAGTCTGATTGTCCTTTGACCTCACTTGATTTCCCTTATTATCAAGAGAAATGAGGGGTGATCTCTTGACTGGATTAGGACTAAATAATGGCTGAAGGCAGAAAAACTACATTTCTGTCAAATGTAGGAAGCATGAGGAGAGTTTGATTCCATATCTGGACATCTTTCATGTGTTTAACTTTATAGGACCAGGGATGTTCATGTCTTTGACCTGGGCAAGGCATCTTAAGTAGACTCTGCAGAGGGACCTGTTGGCTGTATTCCTGAGCAGAAGGAAGGGTAAGTGACTAAGTAGAGGCCTGTCATTTGCCTGTGGCAGGTGTGTACAGGAAGGTCTGATAGGGCATAGGATTGGAAAACACCTTGTGGCATCTTTATGACAATTAGTGATTCTTGCAACTTGCTCAACCTCTGAGTAAGAGCCCAGTCATTTTTTGGAGTAACTTTGATGACCTGCTTGGAGGAATGTTAGAGCCCTGGGAGGGTGTGGCATGGGAAGGCCATCCTCCGTGAGAACTGAGGGGGCTCTGGGGTTCAGTGATTTTAGATGCCCACACAGACACTGTTCTGCAACTTTTATTGGTTCTTTAATTCATGTGGCCCTTGCTTTGCTGAGACCCCTGCCTTGCCTCTTCTTTATTTCCTTCTGTATTAGCAACTGTTCTTATATGGGTTAGAAAATGAATTTACATTATTTGGGATGACTTATGCACACAGCCTGTATTTGAGATGGAAAGGTTTCTGGCCTTCCTATATCCAGTGTTAAGAGTCACGAACAGAGCTCGTTCGGGAAACTATTTCAGACCACATGCTGGCAAGTTATGTGTTGACTGGGACATCTTCACTATTGCATTTACAAGGACAGCTTCTGTCCTTGTATTGGTATTATGTTAATACCAAGTAAGTGAAAATAACCCAAAGTATTTTTTTCTCTTTTTTCTGCATGAAGTGGGGTGAACTGCAAATGGCTGATTTTTCTGGGCTTTCGCCACCATTTCCATATCTAAACAACTGAGACTTAATATAGCTTTTCTTGAACCAACATACACATTAGTTCAATAATATTTACCACAACTTTGTAAATTACGTAGCTTGTACCTTTGTTCTTAAATTACTGGGTAGGAGGCAAGGCTTCCCTAAGGCCATATGGTGACACGATAGCTTCGTCTCTTCACCACAATAGCTTCTAGCTATCTGACCGAACTAAGCTAATCTCACACTTATGCATATAAATATTCATAGTCATACGGCTGATATAATTACATGGTGAAACTAGCAGCTTTGTCCCATTAATGGTGCTATCTTAGCTCAAAGATGCACTAGCTGTAGCGGGTTAGGACTAGCCCTCCGTCCATTTCAATCAGTTAGGATGGCACACGGTGGAAGATACACTATTGCTATGCAACCAGCATTTCCCCATTCCCCCAGTTCTAAATATTCATAGCTAAGCAGCCATTGCCATTTACGTGTATACACACTCCTAATGACTGTGTAGTGAGGTCTGATTACAGTGAGATCTGACGAGCACTGATAGCTCAAAGTCATTATGGAACTTCAATTGCACTTCAACTGGTGCGCAATTTTTACAATTATCTGTACGGTTATCTTCTAGCAACTTTTGGCTCCTTGATCTCCTATACCAATTCTAACTTTTCTGCCAACTTTGGTTCATGGAAAGTTGACCCTCGAGGCATAACGGTTTGAAAAATTGTGTAGAAATGCTATAAGATACAATGGATTTCACCCAATATGATATCAGTGTCTTGAAGAGGCTCTTAATAAAAATTGCATTTTTGCTAAGTGATTGGTCACAAGAATCATGTACTGTTCGTGTATTGTTCATGAATCAAATTGAGGGCCATTTAAAAATGACTAGGCATTAGGAAAACCTAATAGCTTTTTAACAGATTATTTAAATGAGCAGAGCTATGATTTCCAATCATTTTTATCCAAACAGCAGAATGCTGCGTTGGAGTTCTCTTTGAAAAGAAAGTAACTTCATGATTAAACTCCTTTGTCGCTGGATTTAAAGTTTTACATGGAGGGAAAAAGGAATTTATTACATAAATAATTTATGTAATAAATTCCTTTTTCCCTCCATGTAAAACTTCAAGTCCAGCAACAAAGGAGTTTAATCACGAAGTTACTTTCGGCACCTGGACCTTGTAAGTGTTATAGTTTGGCCAAATGCAAACAAAAGAAACGGTGTTTTGTATTCTTCATTCCACTCCATGAATCACAGCAAGTAAAGCAGAAAAATTCTTTCAGAACCAGCACTTCGTATGCATGGGCCAGTTCAAAAACAGGTTTTTAGGAATATCTCTGGTCTTACAGTCTGGAATGCTGCCAGGATTTTTCAGAGTGGTTTGACAGCATTCCTGCAACATATGTAGGTTTAATGGGAATTTTGTCATGCTGATCAGTAACCCTTCTAGTCCTTTGATTGATAGAATGTCAGTATTACAGATACAGCTGTTGCATTGTGCACTGCCAGCGACATTCATGGTTAATTTCTTGCATTTCCCCTATATTAATTTCATTCCAGTTTTGCTGATGACTACCTTCCCTTTAATTATCCCACTAACATTCGTTTAGAGGCGATATTAAGGAGTTGCAGCCAGATTCTATCCCTGATTATTTGGAAGTAACATTTACTGAGTTAAATGAACCTACTGATATGGAAGTATGTGTACTGTATATATTAAAACATAGGGAAAAGTATACTTTCCAAGAGTATTTGTTGGAAGAGGTATGGTATTATGTGATAAAGCTGAGAAATCACTAAGGAACCAGGAGAAGACTAGTCACCTTAACCAAATGATCTCTGAGGAAGCAACACATTCATCCGTTCCCTGACTGAGATAGCCCAGTCCTATAAATCTGGTTCAGGTATGCTGTTAAAAATGGTTTGTACCGAAAAAGTTGCCTGCGATTGACAATCAGGGCAACGGTAGCCACAGCATCCTCCACTCCAGGGTTGTTTCTATAAAGAATGCATAAAGTTTATTATTTATTTATAGTATTTTTACCCTGCCTTTCTCCTGAAAAGGACCCGATGAGGCTTGCAACAATTAAAAGACAATATTTAAAAGCTGGAATCAATGACTATAAACATATTTTAAAAAAAGAATTAAACAAGTATTATATTAAAAATGGTCAGTAAAATCAAGACTAAAAACACATTTAGAAACAGCAGAGCATAACAATCAATTAAAAACAAACCAACCCAAAACAACAGCCTTCCCAAGACTGCCAGTTATAGATAATCTGGTAACTATATTTCAGGATAAGGCCCTGCATTTCCACCACCTGTGTCCCACAGATAAGGAATGACTCAATTTTCTCACACTTTACAGGGGAAATTCACAGGAAGACATCAGATTAAATGTTCAGGGGATGAATTAATTTTTTAAAATCTAAGATTTCATAATATTACTAAGCTATGTACTCTTGTTGTAGTGAAGTTGTCTTTGTTCATTTTATTATCAGCTAATTTTCTTTATATATCATGTAGTGCACTGGTTCTTAACCTTTGTTACTCAGATGTTTTTGGACTGCAACTCCCAGAAGCCTTCACCATCAGCTCTGCTGGCTGAGGTTTCTGGGAATTGCAGTTCAAAAACACCTGAGTAACAAAGGTTAAGAAACACTGATGTAGTGTATCAGCAAGGATAATTTATTGAAAAAATTAAAAACAAACAAACAAGTTAATTATATATATATATTGGGAAATTTTAGATTTAACTTGTGGTAGATCACAGTTTCCACATACAGATCCTTGCACAAATTTTGCCTGCTGCCACAGGAAAGATTTAGTAGGTAAAACAAATATTCTATTTATTTATTTATTCAATTTGTATCCCACTCCCATTAGTATCACAGCACTACTCTGGAAGGGTTACAACATGTATAATAGAAAACTAGCAACAATAACCCTAAAAAAGCAGATGGCACCAACTACAAGAACTGTGGGGAGAAACAAGCCGGGCACCAACTTTGCAGTTAGAAGCAGATCTGATTTAGGAGGTAAAGAATATCTGATTATCCTGCAGAATTGTTTAGAAGCTCTGCAAGTTGCAGATTAACTTGCTTTTATGCAGTGGCTGGGCATTAGTAGATAAATTACACATTGATTTTGCAAATATGGTTGCTATGAACAATGCAGTATCTGATGTGAGTCTATTATATCAGCTTTTAACTGTGAAACTACAAGTTTTGCTATTTTTGCTCTATATCAGAGACGCCCAGTAGGGGATGTTTGTTATTTTGCAGAGGACTGCACTTTTTTGAAATATACCCTTTTTTGGAATAACTTTGTGGTTCTCACCGAAATGTAGAAGGACTATAGTGCTGTCCTACCAGGCATCTGTCTCTCTCTCTCTTTTTTAGCTTTTAAACAGTGCTATGATGTTGTATGATGGGGGACTATTTATGTACAGTAGTCATACCCCTGCAAACTGTATTTAATTGGATCCCTCTGTTGGACCACATCCACTGTACGGGTATGGCAGGCTATATTAGACCAAGAATTCTAAGATCTGCGCATGGATCTCCAGTCTATCAGTGGCTCTTATACTACTCTTAATACTTTTGAAATTGCAACAGGAACATGGGGAAAATGGATTTCGGGGTCCCATAATGATCTCTACTTAATTAATCCTCAACACTCTTACTACTCATTGTAAAACAACGTATCATTCGCCAAACAGTATTTGCAGTTTTACTCTAAGCATATTTTTAAAGAGGTCACAAATCAGCACATTATATTTTGTGGCACACTAATAAAATATGCTAACACGATAGCATCTAATGAGGGAAATGTTGCATGCAGATGTCTGCTAGTGATTACCCTATAAAATGATTGTTTATTTTTATTTTATGAGCAATTTCTAGATTTAAAGATTTAACAAAAACATTCGTTTTGCCAAAAGTATAAACGTAATATGAGTGCACTATATAAAACACCCTGGTTTTTAATGCTTGCATAGTAGTTTAAAAATAAATGGCAGTGAACACTTGCTTTAGCTTCTCTCCCTTCTGATGAAACAAGTGGTGTTCTCTGATCAGAATCATATCTCCTTTTGAGATGCAGAAGAAGAAGGTTTATTTGTCTTTGTTTTTGTAAGTTCTTTCTGGCCACATCAGCCATCCATCTGATCGATATTGCAATGTGCTGAGAGTCAGTTCTCATGGTATTAAACAAATACAAAGGGCACAGAAAGGAAAGAAGAGGTAGAATTTTTGTTGCTGTTGTCATTGAGATTTTAATGGTGTCTATA